AAGTCCTTCACGAATCTCCTATAGTAGGTGCAAAGTCCTAGGAAGCTTCTCAGCTGTTGGACATTTTCGTGACGTTTCCAGGATTTAACCGCTGATACCTTTTCAGGATCCGTGCGCACACCTTCTGCAGAATGACATGTCCCAGGTAAGTCACTTCCTTTCGGAACAATTTGCATTTAGCGGGACTCAGCTTCAGATTGGCTTCTTTCAGTTTCTGAAGCACCTTCCTAAGATTTTCTAAATGTTCTTCAAAACTCTTTCCGACGATGATGATGTCGTCCAGGTATATCAGGCAGGCTTCGTAGGAAAGGCCTTTCAAAACAGTCTCCATAAGACGTTCGAATGTTGCCGGTGCATTACACAGTCCAAACGGCCATCACCTTGAATTGCCAAAGCCCTTGTCCCGTAATAAATGCCGTCTTTTCTCGGTCTTCAGGCTGTATTTCTACCTGCCAATACCCACTCTTTAAATGAAGTGTTGAGAACCACTTGCTTCCAGAGAGAGTGTCTAGAATGTCGTCAATTCTAGGAAGAGGGTAACTGTCTTTCTTAGTAACCTCATTCAACCGGCGATAGTCGACGCAAAATCTTGTTGAGCCGTCTTTCTTTCTGACTAGGACGATGGGAGATGCCCATGGACTTACTGAAGGCTCGATGACATCGCTTTCTTCCATATCTTTTAACAGTATTCGGACCTCTTCCTGTTTAGCAAACGGTAGACGTCTTGGATGTTGCTTGATCGGGGGATGATCGCCGGTATCGATTCTATGTTGTGTCAAACTAGTTCGACCCAAGTCAGAAGACGAGCGGGAGAAAGCAACTTGAAGATCCCTTAATGATACGATCGGCAGCATTCCTCTCTTTATCGTTTAATTGCGCATTCTGCAATAACTCCGAAGTAATGCTCTCTGAGGACACGGACTCTTGGATGTTACTCTTTCTTTCAACGCTGGTTACTGGAGTACATGCTGCAACCACTTCACCTTTCTTAATAATTCTCCCCTTCTCAGTTACATTGGCGACTCTCACCGGGATAACCGTTCTGGATAGGTCGACGAGTGTTGAGGCTACTAGTACTCCTTTTGGGCTATTACAGTTATTGGGATATTCTATGATGCCGTAGCGGAAATTTCTGTTTTCGGCAATGGATCTAGGAAGTAAAATTTCTGTTCTTGCCGGTATTGTGATATTGTCTTGTGCTATGATTTTATGAACAGATTTAACTTCTTCATCATTAACTCCAAATAACGCTGTGTCCTCAGATGTAGAATGCAATTCGTTATTTTTAAAGTCCAAGGAAAAATTGTATTTCCTTAGAAAGTCCAATCCGAGTATGCAAGAATCAGTGATCTCTGTTACATATGCCGTGTGATGGTAAGCGGCACTTCCAAACGTGATGTTTAACATTACTTTTCCATCGATGTCGATCTTCTCACCGGACACAGTCTTTAGGGTAACGCAGGGAGGCGTCTAGATAAGTTTGCTTCCCAGTTGTTCAGCCAAATCTTTTCGGATGATGGTAACGTTGGCTCCTGTATCTATCGTCATATTGCAGGGAACTCTATTAATATGTCCTATTATGAAAAGTCCATTACTGCCGCCTCTCACTGCAGAAATCTGAATCGCTTTAAACTGGGGCTTTTCATTATCTGGCAACCTCTGCCCCGCGAGATGGCCACTAATTAGTTTCCCTGCTGTTTGTTAGGAGCGGTTTTAACATCCGTACCCTGGGGTGTTTTGCAGTTTCGTCGTATGTGTCCTTCAGCACCGCAGTTCCAGCACTTTACGGTCGGTTTCTTGTCACCAATATTCTGTCTCAAGGCGTTCAGTTGTCTAGTTAAATCGTCTAAACGAGCAGTGACTTGATCCCCTGGCTCCTGGACTTGAGCAGCTCTGACTGGATGGCGGTCTCGGCGGGTGGCTTGCTGGGCTGCCTCGAATTTCATGGCGTACACTAAAGCGCTTTTCAGATCTTTAACATCCGCCATTCGCAGTGCTTTCTGTATTTCCGGGTCCCGGATGCCATCGATGAAATATTGCAGGGACAGGATTTCCCTTGTTTCTGTCGGGCACTCCGAAAAAGGCGTAATGTGACAGCCTTTCAACATCCGTGGCGAAGCTCCTGAAGTGATTTCGGTGAGCTTCTGCTTGACGGGATTTTAAATTGGAGCCTGCTGTAGTCTTTTAAAAACTTCTCCCCGAAAGCGCAGCTCCAAGGCGCCTGGACAGAGCTTCGAAATCTAACCTTTTGTTTTCGGGAAGAGTCTGAAGGATATCCGCTGCGTCGGCTCTTAAAGAAGCATCCGAGATCTGACAGGCCCATCTAGCTTGGGAATCCCATCCATTCGCATCCGCCACGATAGAAAATTGTGTCTTATACACCTGCCAGGAGGTCTTCCCATCATATGTCGACAGCTTCAGAGAGGGACGAGCAGGCATGGTAGAAAATTTTAAACCATCCGAAGTGCTCCCTGCCGTCGCTACGAATTTCTTTAAAGTGTCAACTTCTTTGGCGACGACAGCAGAAATTCTGTCTTCGATTTGTTGTTCAATATGTACTTGGCCGGCAAAAACTCTGTCTTCGATTTGTTGTTCAATATGTCCTTGGACGGCAGAAACTCTTTCTTCAATTTGTTGTTGGAAGGCCGAAACTCTTCCTTCGACTCGTCGCTCCACAGCCGACACTCTATCTTCCATTTCATCTTTGACAGAAGAAACCTTTTCTTCAATTTGCCCGACTTTATTTTCGACAGCTCCTATTCTGTCTTCCATAGCCTCAAATTTACTTTCTATTACGCAGGTTATTTCTCTTTTCATTTCGTCTTGACCTGCTTCAATCTTTTCTTGTACAGCTTTTATGTCTTCTTTAAAAGTTACTTGACCTGCTTCAATCTTTTCTTGTACAGCTTTTATGTCTTCTTTTAAAGTTACTTGACCAGCTTCCAACTTTTCGTGAACGGCTTCTATTTCCTTTTTAACGGATCTCATCTCTCCTTTAACGGAATCTTGGCCCAATTTCATTTCTTCCTTAAATTCTTCTTTAAATGAGGCAAAGGCTGATATTAACTGCCTTAATTGCTCTTCCATCGCTCTTGTTATTGGCATTCAAACCCCACTCCTGACACCAAAAATTGTTGCGTGCGTACGGGTTCGTTATGAAATGAATGCACAAGTCCGATGAAAGATGAACAAAAAATTTATTATTATCACAACAAAAATGCTTAAAATTTTCTCAAATATCATGCAGTATTACAATATCTCACAGCAGTTATCTTTTAACTACTCAAATGTCCAATAGAACGTAATTCAAAACAGCTAAAGAAACGCTAATCCGCGAATTCGCTACAATCAACAAGAGCAGTTTTCTAAACAACAACAAACTAAGCAACTACTACGAACTGAGATGTTTTCCTCCTTTTATAAGATTTTAAAAATCACGCGCTAGAATTTTCCAGTACTTTCTCGAAATCAAAAAGAGATATTTATTTATTTAATGCACGCGCTCTCGTATTTTCAATTTTCCGGCTTAGCTTTCTTTTAATATTCGTCACGCGCTGCACTGCGCGAGAAATAAAACCATTTAATTTATAATTGAACTAACATTAGCTTTTTAAATACCAAATTCGTAACAATATTAATAACACTTAACCCTTTCAAAATCCATTTTAACTTAATTTTTCTGGCGATTAAAAACTTACAGCTTAATTAAACTAGCTAAAAAGCTAGAATTTTAACTATTTAACTATTTTTGCCATGCATTTAAGATCTTAATTTAGAGAATTTAAAAATATTTTATATAAGTATTTTAACTGATTATTGTATATTCATAATCGTTATAATTTTCTTTTAACAGTTTTTAAACGAAAGTTTAATCTTAAAATTACACCACCTATTATCTGATTTCGCTGTTATTTATTTCAATTGTTTGGAAGGATGTTTTTAATTAATAATAATTAACCTTAAATTAATTATGGGAAAATTTCTTTCTTTACAGAGAAATAAGAGATACATTTGCCTTTAATCTTTTTACTGTATCTAAAAATATAGAATGTATTTGCTCATCGACAATTCGTACCAAATATTAAAAAATAAAAAAAAAATCTGGAAATATAAAATCTGAAAGATTTCATTTACACCCACATACGCGTTTCGAGAGCGTTTGGGATAACTCCCCTTTGGGTTAAAAATATTAAAAAACAGCGTATCTTTAGAATTTCCGATAGACAGTCTCGCGCATTGGAGATGAAAATGTTCTGTTCCGTACAGTGTTGCCACTGCTGGCTTTGAAATCGTTGAGTTTTTTAATCCAAAAAATTCGTTAAAATTTTATAAAATATGAAACAGATAATAAAACAGATTCGAAATTCAAAATTCGGATTTCCAGGTGCACATATTCGGGTGGAGGACTACGTTATTCAAAATTTGGTGGTTCTAGGTACAGTCTTTTTTCACAATGCAAGAAGCATGCATACATTTATGCAGATTTCATGAAATTTAACAAATAAAGGTAACACACAAAACATTAAAAAATGCCCTTTTGGGAGTAATATAAAATATCTAAAAGCTTTCAGATTTTTTTTATTTGAATTTTTTTATTTCATGATTTAAAAAAGTCCTCATACTACCCATATTCGTGTATTTTTAGAACAGATTAATATTAGTCGATGTTATGCTCGCAGATATGAATTTATTATAATGAAAAAAAAATTTTTTCGTATGTGATTGTATCTCGTAGTATAGAAACGGAAGCACCCCTTTACGAAATTTCGCACATAACGTTTTCAAGATGTATGTGTGCATTTCGAAACGAATTTTTCAAGAATCCAGTTTTTCTTAATTTGACCTTAAAGTGATTTTTGACAGATTTTTTTCTCGTATTTTGAGTCGACTTTTGGAGTTTCTAAACTTTTTTTAATGGAGTGAGATTTTATTCTTGTATATATATATATATATATATATATATTTAATTTATTTTATATTTCTTTATATATATATTTCAGGAAAAATGTGGACAACCCAACTGTTATAGATGAAAGCAGGATTAATGAATATATTAAGAACCTGGTGGTATTTCATCATCTGAAAGAAATAACAAGAATGAAGTACAGCTTTCTTATATATTTCTTAATATTAAGCTTCAGACTTTTAAGTTGCCTTAAATAATTATAGCTAAAATATTACTAAAACTATGCACTTGATTTTTGTTTACTATATATTTCTCCTGGATAACAAGCACGGGTTTAGAAAGGATTTAAGCACAATCGAACAACTCATAGAGTTCCTCGGAGTTCAATTCGTAAGAACCTTATGTTTAGACGACGGAAGCTGTCGACCGTGTCTTAACATAATGGTACTCTCAGCTTCGGCAGAGAAATTATTCTTATTCTAAAGCTGTATCTGGACAATCGCCGGCAAGAAGATTTCTTTTCTGTTCGCCGGCATCAGCTAACACTGCAGGAATTCATTTTGTTATCTGTTTAAGGGCAGAAAGGATAGCATAAGAGACGAAAAATATCAAGAAACTATTTTCAATGAAGAAACTGGATGTTACAAACACAAAATATCTGGGAAGTAATAACTTGGTCGTAAAAACGTCGTAACTTGACGTAGAAACGTCATATTAAACAACAAATGGTCGGTAAAGCAAACATTGTTATGCACGGGCTCATGCCTTTAATCGGCTATGGGTTAAATCTAGACTTAAAACTAAAAGAGCAGCTCTACATTACAACTAGGCCGATTCATCTGCGTGACTCTTGCTGATTTACAAAAACTTCAGATCATTCATTCAGTACTTTGAATGAGTTTGAGTGTTTATATATACACGAGAAACTCCATTCTTAGCAGAGATCTTAAAATCTGCAGAACTGTAGAGCACTTTCACCTTTGCTCTGAGAATTTCTTCCCAAATGCATTAGTCTCCTCTATAGTAAATTATTTGGTAATTGTAATAAAATATATAATAATGGATAAAGATTGCTTTACCAGACCATTTGTTTCCTTCTTTAAAGGTGACTAGGATATTATCACCTAAACTGTATATATATAATATTTTCTTTATTTCTTCCATTTATTTAAGAAATGTTCGTTTATTTACTGAATTCGCACATAATATTTTTACCATACCGTTTATTTACTGAACATTTTAAGCTGGAATTCTTCATTTTATATCTGTATAACTTTTTTACTTCCATTTCTGATTAAGTCCAGGTCAGGAGTAGGAAATCTGCAAGATGGCAGGGAAGAAGGAAGAGTGAAGCAATTTGATAACGATTTCCCTACCTGAGAGTTCCCTACCTTTCCTAGTAGAAAGCAGCTGCATCTAGGCAATGGCCTCAGATTTTGCTCATTCCCTTTTAGATGAATCTCACTTTGCAAATTCTTTATTGGCATTAATTTCCTGAGCAAGAAGAAACAGCTCAGATAGGCTACCGGTTTGCAAAACACATAATAAAGATCATACAAAGGCCTTTAACATCGGTCTTTTGGCAGAAGTCGTTGAGAAGCCTAGAATATTTTAAACATTCACCGATTTATACATTGACGTTGCGAGGCATGTATTGTCGCGGAAGGAATAAACGTTTTGAGATTGCAAAAGAATATATGTCTAATTAGCATACTGTATTAACTTACTTGCATTTCTTTATTATTCTCGTAACTGTAGCACAATCAGATAGCATTTGCGGCTACATTCTCCTATAGAAAAATTGGTAGGCTTTTACAATCTTGACTTACCTTTAAAGTTCTCTAAGACTTATTTAATCATCTTATCTACACTACATAACACATCCAGAAAGTACACTCCCTTTGGTAATCAAAAAGGAGTTAGAGAAGTTAGTTAAACATTTTTTTTTTTAATTTTGTATTTATATGTCTTGGCCTGTCACTCTACATAAGCACCGATGGCACTAAGGCACTTATCACACCGGGAGACAATACTCTTACCTAACAATTCTGCTTATAGTATTCTGAGAAAAGCATATCCTGTTTGTAAAAAACTGCTTTTCATCTCCAAACTCAATTTTTTTAAAAGATGATAATAGCTGTAATTGTAATCCGAGATTATCAGCCAGTTGCTTCCAAGCCTTTTGTCAAATGTTTTGAAGCTACTGTTGTCTCGATGCAACTAGCATTGCAAAATATCCCCACCTTCCTTGAAAGTACTTTACTGGCAGCAAAGAGTTCTGGAAACTGCACTTGGATTTCCCAACGGAAGTGGTAGCTGAAATGTACAATACAAAATTTTGTCTTCCGATTCATAAGCTTCTCAGTGTATTGGGTGTCTTTGCGAAGCGATGGAAATAAGACAGGTGCTTTCAAAATTTTTTCGTGCAACCAGCTTTTTAGTCCAAAGAGCGTTGGCCCAGAAGGGTTTAATTTCGTTTTCGCATTTTGCGTTGAAACCTTTAAATGTTGGTTTACATTTCAAATTGTTGCCACGAAATAAAGAAAGAATTCGCCGCACGTATGAACGAAGCCCACGAAAATCGTCGTACGAAGGCAGTAGGGAGTTACAAATGCCACAAAAAACGGTATATGGCGTGTTCCTCAGGAAGAGGCTGCAAATGAAACCGTACATCATTCAACTAGTGCAGCAATTGAAACAGGAAGACTACGGCAAACGTATGAATTACGCTCCGTTTATGCTGGAAAGCATGGAGGATAAAACAATGGCATGATTGTCTCATTTTTAGCGATGAATCAACCTTCCACGTAAGTGGGAAGGTTAACCGGTACAACAGTGTAATATGGAGTACGGAGAAGCCTTCCACTGTAACTGAACATGAACGTGACTCAGCGAAAGTTAATGTGTTTTGTGCGATTTCATCACGTAAATTGTACGGTCCTTTTTTCTTCAGTGAGGAAGTGTGACATCAGATGTTTACCTAGACATGCTTGAGGTATGGTTAATGCCACAGTTAGACTTTGATTCCACGGATTACATCTTTCAGGAAGATGGAGCACCCCCACCCTGGAGTACGGAGGTTCGCACATTTTAAATCAACATCTTCCAAAGCGTTGCATATGTCGAAGGGGAGCTGTCGAAGACGTCTTCTACTCTTGGCCACCGAGATCTCCGGACTTGACACCCTGCTATTTTTTCTACGGGATTATGTGAAAAACAGAGTGTTTATGCCTCTCATGCCCAAAAAATTGAAGAACTCAAAGTACGCATTTGTAATGCGCTTGCGTCGGCGCATTCTGAAGCACTAAATTCTGAAGCATTTGATACATTCTGAAGCATGTATGAAGCATTTGAACATGAGTATGAAGAGTATGAAGCAAAATGCTTCAGAATGTATGGCGTGAAATAAACTACCGTCTACTCCTAAATGTTGTCCGTGTGAGTAAGGGAAGTCACATAGAACATCTATGACGTATGTATACAAAAGTTTGAAGTTCTCTCTACATTATGTGTTAATCTGAAAGATAAATTCGTTTTCAATAAATAGTTATAGCCATTTGTAATCGCTATATTTATTTTGACTTGCCCTGTATATCCTAAGTCGCGCTTTCGAAACATGAAAAACGTACTTTGAATTTCGTCAATCGGCGCAGTAGAACGGGAGATATAGAACTGTTTCTCCCCCCCTCCCCGCAATGTATAACAAGAATATATTCACTTATTCACATTTATTCAAATTTAAATTGATATAAAAAGTTATTATTTAATAACAAAAGAAATTTTTATGTAGTTAAATGTAATTTCAGGAAGAAAGGCAGAGCTCGAAGTAAACCAACTGGTCGTTCCTGTGTTGGTTCTGAGATTCCAATGAAAACAGAAAGCTCTTCTGCGAGGGATTACCGGTCGAAACAGTCTAAAGTTTTTGAAAAAGAAATTCTAGCAGATAGGCGTGTCGATATCAAGATTGAAAATGACTGAAATTGGTTTTATATTCTATCTGAAACTCATAAAATACTGAAACTTAATGTGTACGGAAGACGTATTTTCCTGTTTGAGACTGATGGCACTAATTTCCTATTTTTACTTATACTTCCAAATATTTTGACTTTTGAATTTTAAAAATCTTTTTTTAATACCATATTTATTATTCATTACGTTAAATAATATACTGTAAAACAGTTCCTGAAGTATTTAAAAATGATTAAGTTTTTGCACACATTAAACAGAATGCTTTTTGCTTGTCTGATTAACAAATTATTGCAAATTTTAAGTTTTTGTGAATTCACAAGGAAAATAAACACACGTAAAATAATAACTTCTTTATTATTATTATACACAAAGTATCGCAGTCAGTAATTTGAAAATCATTAATGAGATGTTTCTTGCTAAATTTAAATTTTTTATCGAAATGTAACTGATTGATAAGATCTAAATTATGTAAATATACTTTTTTAATATTAAGACACCACAATATAATGCATTTTGTTAATTTCATTAATGTCAAAAATTTTACTTTATTTTTTTGGAAAAAAGGGATATTATTTACTTTAGAAAATTATAAATTTTATTTAAAATTCTACTAGCTTTGTCCTTATTTATATGCATATTCAAAGTGCTAAATTTGCTTTTCGCAACGTTTATTGATGTATATTGATCTAATAAATTTTTATTAAATATAAATTATGTTTTTATATTCATATTTATTAAACAATAAAATGCACATTCTGAATTAAAAAGCAGTACAGACAGCAAATATTTTGTAATAAAATGTTACATTAAATGCTAAGAGATAGACCCTTAATAATGAAAAATATTTCTCTTTTTAGCACATTACTTTTAAAAACCTGATATTTTCTTTTTTTCTCTTTTTTTTTTTAAAATTATTTACAAATGAAATATGTAAACAATTTTTGTATTGAGCACATTAAATCCCTTTCATCACATTTTTTATTCTTAAAGTAAATATATAATACTGATTCTGAAACTTAATATATAAATCAATTGCACATTTTTTAGTATGAAAAGTTTTAAAAAATGATTCTCATATTATCTGTAAAAGAATGTAATCTTTTTCTCTCTCTCTCTTTTTTTTTTTTTTTTTTCTGGAAAAATACACCTTTTTAAAGATGATGTGCAGGTAATTATAAAAAAAAATTAAATAGTTTTATATTCCTTAAACATAATTGCTATTCAAAATTAAGCTTTTGAAGTTTTTGAATGTCCATGTTGTTTATGACAAAATATTTTTGTGTCTATGAATGTAATATAATTAATATCAAACACTGTATCGATAAACTACACAAATGTGGCCGAAGTGTAATATTATTTGTGAAAATAAATTTGTATTTTTAATTCATTTTATAGTTGCATTTTGAAAGTTAAAAAAAAAAAAAGTATTTTAATTTTGAATTACCATTTTCTTTCATGATAATTAATATAACAGGGTCGTGAGATGCCAATTAGCAAATAAATGCTCAATAGGAAATTTGTTTTCTTCTATCAAAAGCAGAGTCATCTAAATTAGTTTGACGTCTTAATTATGTTGGATTGAGTAAAATTTATTTGTTCATGTAATCAATTAAATAATTTTCATTGAAGAAGAAATTATTATAAAATATATTAGACTTCACTTTTTATTTAATTTAAATAACTTTTTAATACGATAAAGGTAGTTTGTGAGCATGAATGCAAGCCAGTTTTATTTAAGAAGTCCTAAGCAAATAAGATTCATATACTTTGCTAAATCGATTAAAAGCAACAATAATTAATTTGCGTTGATAAATACCGTAAAGGGGAATATAGTTTAAAGTGATTCTATATTTTTTTCGGCATTACAAATCTATGCATAATTTTACTGTGATCGTAGTCTATGGATAGAATATTTTAATTATAATGAACCGTTTATACTAATTAATCCTGCTTTAAAATTAAATTACTATTTATTTTGTTGTACTTTCCTCGAAGTTGAATTCCTTTCCGTGGATCCGCCTTCCACGTAATCTGTTTCGCCACAAACAGCTTCTCCGTATTTTCCATGTACTGGCTCTCGGTTCGAAACCATCCTAGTTTTCTCATTATTGAATAGAAATGCTTTTATACATTTATTTAGTAAAATATCAGTGGTATAGCCGAAAAATAAATTGTATGATTAGTCACCAGTTCTTAAAATAAATATAAAGGTTAACAGTGTCACTGAATATGTTTTTAATGACTTTTTTAGTTTGCTGTATAAAAATCCTTACATTAATTTTCTTTATTTAGCTACGCTGCTCATTTGCTGCGTACTGCACTGAACAATCAGAGGGTGACTAATGAGAAAGCAGAATTCCATAGTGCTTTTACTACTTAGTTTGATATTGTGTCTTTGCAAATGCATGAATTCTGGGACAACACCAGCATCGACACCGACTGGTCTCCAGACCCCCTACCCGGTCTTCAATTTTTAGAAGCAGAACGCTTCAATCTGTTCTCTCCCCGTCAGGTACTTATCTCTTTTGGAGAATATTCCTTTAAGGTCGTAGTATCACAAGTCAGGCCCTAGTGGAACTCTTTCAATAACTGGCAAGAACATAGGGATCACTATCACCTGCTGCTAGCCAGTATAACCGACCAAGCATCAAAGCATCGTTATTCAGTTATTTTTATTTACTTCCGAAGAATTTTAGCTAAGATAAATAGAGATTATTGATTAAATTTAACAGAGGTTTTTGAGTTTAAGCTAGTAATAATGATGTCAAAATTCTTTTTTTTTTTTTTTTCGAATATGTTACTGTAAATTATTTATTATTAGCATTAATTTTGATAAAAATGTAAAAAAAAAAAAAGTTTAAATGGCCACTCAAGCGTTTTAAAGAATTTAAAACGCCTTCACAGTTAATAATTATTACATTGCGTATTTTTAAATATAGGAAGGTAGTTAGAAAGTTCACTTCATTTCTTGTTTCCATTTATTGAGAAGAGTAAATTTAAATGAAATTTTGGAGCAATTTTTAATCTATAGAAGTTAAGAATTTTAGTTTCATTTCTTTCTCAAATTAAATTAAGCTCACGTTAGAAATTTCAAAGTCCTCTAATTCAGTTCCTTTTTTCAACTTATAATTAAGTACTATTGCCTGGAAAAAATTTTAACAAAACATGAGGTTTTTCCTGGGGAAAAGTAATAAGTAAAAAATAGTAATGTGGTGTTGCGCGGCCCCAACCTGCACGCAACAATAGTAGTGACTGCTATGAACTGGAAAGTACACAAACTCTTAAGAAGGGTTTAACTCCCTTTTTATTCCATTTTAGAAGTTACAGATGCGTGCACTTGACGCTCACAAACTACGCCGACCCGGCGGTAAAATAAAAATAAGAAACTAAAAATGAATAATAACAAGTTACTACCTACGAGGCTCTCTAAACGTAACTAACCTAACCGCGTTCTAAGATACAGCTGATATTTCAGCAAACTTTCTGAATATTAAGTTGAAAGATTCAACTATCTGCCGAGGCAAGCACACAGGCCGAAACGCGCGGTTCTTAAATTTCTACCTAGCAACCTTCACGCTCGTGTATCAAGAAAGCACACCTACAAACTCGTTTCCCTTCTATTTAACTCAAAATTACTTCCGCTGAAAATCTGAATACTTTGCGCGTTCTACTAAAAATTTACATACTCTGGCATTGGCAATTCCAGGGGAAAGTAAGGCTTGACAGGAAAGATATCTTAACTTAAAATAAATGTTAGTTAAAATAAATATAAACCCTACATTTGCCGCTGCCAGAATTTGGTAAACTTGGAAGCAGGTCCTAGAAACGACCCTTTGAAGAGTTTCCATATTCTGAACTAAAATTCAAGAGCCTCGTTTACATAAAACAAACTGTTTTTTCACATATTAGAATAAATTTCTGTAGATAATCATTTTACCCTCTCTTCTTATAGAAACCTTTCCTGGACTTCAGCAATCAATCTGTTCTCTTCCTTCCAGCATCTGGAAGGAATAAGTATCAGTATCTTTCTAAATACATTATAATTTACACTTTCTTGACACTGAATAAAGTTTTTGTTTTTGATCGTTTTATTTTCCTTAATTACTGCTTAACTCACATTCATTCAAGTATCCAAACATGAATTTAACTTTACCCTTGCTCTCCACCATGTGTGGTGTCCAACGGGAATATTCGTGTTTTAGTATTGCAACACTTCCCCTAACCACAATGATTTGTTAGAATTCAACGACCAAATAGACACACCTTACTCGACATTCTAAAACTCGATGAGCTATTTTAACATTCTTAAAATTCAAGTGTAGGTGGAGAACCCTAAAAAACACATTCATTTTAAATTCCCCCTCATTCATCTTTAGACATGCAGGCTTTCGCTCTAAAGCATGATTTTATCTACAGTTTAATACTTAAATTTGAATTCATTTCTGTCGAGTATTTACTTTTAGCATCTAAAATTTATGCTTCTAGACTTCTACTAAATTTCTACTTTTACATAACTTTCAAGTATTTACGTATATTTACAAAATTAATACATATGATTTTTTACAATTTACCATAAAATGAGAGAAAAATAAATTTTTACTTCACGCATTCTTCGCCAAAGCTGGCGGCACTGAAACTAAATTTCTTATTAATACAAGAATACGAAGTTATTTTTATCTTCGGCCAAATTTTGGCTTTAACATAACAGAATTAGTCTTTCGACCAACAGGAACTGCTTATTCTTAGATTTTATACTTAAAGGAAATAATACTTTTTGCCTTAGCTAAATAAAGTAAAACAAAACTAAGTCTCAACCGAGACAAATTGACTTCCGTCAAAACATAGAACTTCGCATTTACGCATAACATTTCGGAACAAAAGAAAAATTTTAAAGAAGATTTTAACTTATCTTTGAGTTTTCGATGATTGGAACTCCGAACATCCTCTTCTAGCAGAACTGCTCCCACGATTATGGAATTCATCGAAGTCAGTCGTTCTCCTTTGTGTTTCCTTCGAATTTCGGTCATGTTGATTTTTCTTTTTCGCCCTCTGTGCTGCTGGGCCTCTTGGAGTGGTAGTCGTCGGGTTGCTGTCTTTTACCGTTTTGCCGCTGGACGGCTGGACTTGGCGGCGTCCGGTCTGAAATCGTGCTTGAATTTCTTCTGTTGGTGGTGGTCTTTTCATTCCTCCTACCTGTCTTTTTGTTCTTGTGAACGGCGGCCTTGTTTGCTCCTGACTATCTGGCCCTGGAAGTGGTTTTCCTCGACGCAGAATTTCTACTGTGGTGCGTTGTAACTGGTCTTTTCCTCTTTTACCAAAGATTCTTTACACGCGGCGGCGTTTGCTTTCTTGTACTTCTTGAATGCGGGAGTCTTGAACCATTTTCCTTTCCTTCTTTTCGGGGACTCGTAGCACGACTGACTTGTAGAAGGGCTAGGTTTCCTCTTCTGTTCTCTGCTTCTTGGGTGGTGGAGCAGGTGACGTTAACTTCTGGACCTTTCCACTTCTTTTGCGCTTGAGTCCTGCAAGAAACTTTTAAGGATTTCAAAATCATTTTGATTATAATATATTTTCACCTGGTCGGGACTAGCTTTACAGATTTCCCCTCTCTCGTTCTTAAGGTACAATACGACTCCCTTGATTTCCTGAATTACATAGGGGCCTTCAAATTTTGGAGCTAACTTTGCAGTAAAATTGTCTGGGGCACTTGA